AGGACAGCCTGCTCTCTCCAGAGCCCGTTCTGCCCTCCCCCAATGTGAGTTCCAGCACACAGGGAACCCTGGGGCTGAGGAGAACGGATCAGGCCCGGGAAGTCACCCATCTGGACCAAGCCATGAGTCACCGAGTGGGCACACAGACAAGCCGCTCACTGGCTCACCGTCTTCCTCAGGATGGGGAAAGTGTCTTGTGCTTAGAAAGGGGTGATTGTTTCCAAATGTACATCAATGCTGGAAAACGGGCCCATGCCATAGTTATGGAGCCATGCGCCCGGTTTTTAGGCAAAGCCCCCCCCCTCCCGGTGGCCATCTCTGCAGGCCTGTCCGGGGGCGAAATCTAAGCCGTCAGCAAAGAGCCTCTGGCAGGACCCGAAGGGAGAGAGAGGGCAGGATGGTTTTCTGCCAGCAGGATGGTTTTATGGCCTCCAGGCTGATGTCATGATGGGCCCAAGAAGATTGCAGGGAAAGGTACACAAAGCAGAGCAAGAGAGAGAGAGAGAGAGAGAAGGCATTTAATCCTTTAAGACCTTCATTACCCTTTTATGCAAGTCTCATTTCCTTTTATTGCTGCTTTTTCTTCTTATGGCAAAGTTAAATAAAGGGAGGCTGATTTACGGCCACTGGGGTGGAGGCGGTGAAAGGGTTAGGGTGTCTTCCAGGCGAGGGGAGGATGATGGGATTCTGCTCAGGCCGGCCAGAGTCCAGCCTGGCTTTAGTCTAGGGGATCCTGGAAGCAGCGCTGCAAAAAAGCTGCAAAAACAGCTGGGGAGAGGAGCTTGGAGGCTTTGGTGCCTTTCTTCCAAAGGGTAACACCGAGCAGATGTACTTTTGTGTTGCTGCTTAAAACGAAAACAAAGATAAAGGGGGGGGGGCGGTATCTTGAAAAAAAATGCAAATATAGAAAAGGTGACACTTTTCTTGAGACCAATGAAAACCAAACCTTCAATGCAAACTTTTGTGAACAAAATTCACTTCTCCAGAGGTAAGGTAGGAAAAAACTAGGAATGAACGTCCCATCATGGATGTGGCAGAGATGATCCGCCAGGCCTGGAGCTGAAGGGGAGCCGAGTGTCTCTACTGGAACCGGTCGCGGTCGCCCTTTTCGTCGTTTTTCTGGTTTGATGACATCGGAGGCATCTGGGGTGGCTGTTGGAAGCTCCTCCGGTTAATGTGTATCTTTTTAATATATATACTGTATATATGTCATCAAACCAGAAAAAGGGCGAAAAGGGCGACCGTTCCAGTAGAGATAATATCCCTTATATCCTTATAATATATATACTGTATAAGGTTATAAGGGATAAACATGGCTTAGTAAAACTGAAAACCTAGAGTTTTCTGCTTGCTTTTGGTCCAAATACATGACTATTTTTAATTTATTTGTTTATTTCTTGCTTGCTTGCTACTGTGGCAGGTGATACCAGGAGTAGTAATTTTTCAGAGTAACTTTTCCCAGCTTCTGCCTGTGCTCTTGTCTGCTCCAATCCCTGCCTTGTTACTAGAGGTAGGTGTGTGTGTGTGTGTGTGTGTGTGTATGTGTCTTTGTGTGTCTGTGTGTTGGGACAGGTGGGAGAAAGCTGGAATGGCTCCGTGTTTAATTCTGGATAGTCCGGAGGCCTTTTGTCGGAAAGCCGAAAAGACTCTCTTCTCTTAACCCGAGCTCCCTACTCATTAAGCCCTAATGACTCTATTAATTGAATATGTAAGTTTGCCTAATTAGACACAAGACTTATTTCTTCAGTTTAAAGGGTAAAAATAAAAAATTTAAGCAGATGAATGAGGCTGAGCATTTAGGGATGATGGACGAGAAAGAGGGGGTAGGGCAGTATTCCAATATGAGCCTCGTTAATGGCATCCGTTCATTAGGCGATGTCCATTAGCTGAAAGGTCAGTCCGTTTTAGGGCTTGATGCATTACTTGGATTGTAGTGAATTTAAAACAGGACAAGGGACCGTGAGTGGGAAGGAGAAAGGACCTTGAGGAAGAGCAGGTGATGGAGAGGGGGGTCCCTTGGCCTTCCTTGCTGGATTTGGCCACGGGCCGTGGCGGGGCTGTGGCATGTGACCTGGACGGGATCCTGCCAGCTGCTGGGGAAACCCTGGAGGCAAAGAGCACTTGTTGCTCAGCCTCATCTGCTGGGGGGGTCTCAGGCGGAGGGCGGCCTGGG